GCCTAGCTGCCAGATCAGAAAGGTCACGCAACCTCTAGCTTGCAACCATTCTTCGCAGGGGCTGTTTCTAAAGATTGTCCCCTGTAAAGGTTCAGAAGGCGGCGCGTGGTGAGAACCATAGCATGGTATCCTTATCATTACCACTCTGAACGTCGCCGGATGACCCAATTTCTGACCTCAGGATTCCTCAGGATGGACCACAGCTCATCTTCGTGACATCAGAAGTCTCGCCCATAATTTGGCATGAATCACAGGTTCTTTCTAGAGGTTCTGTAGAGGTGGTGGCTCGCAATGGCGTCCTCTCTCCGCTGTAGCATGCAGCCCTGCATATTCCTAAACAGGGCTTTGCTGGATGCCGGAACCGACACCACCTCTCATCATGGGGTTTTGCCGCTCACGGGCCCATCAAAAGTGACCAGGTTTGGTCTGGCGCAGTGGAGGGTGCACAAAGCAACCGCAGAATTCTCGGAAAGAGCAGATATTTTTCAAAGTCGGCGGATGGACTGGGGGAGTGCAGGCGTCCTTTGCATCGTTCGGAGAGGTGGTGAGTGCCTGGCACAATGAGAGACTCTTGTTGCTCCCGGTTTGAGCTGTGTGGTGCTTTGCTATCCCGGCAGTCATTACAAGGTCTGAGTTGTAATAAGTTTTCAGCAGGTCTGCCACTCAGTGGATCTACGCGTGAACATTCGCCCTTTGCTTTCCTACTGTTCTGCCACTATTTGTCTCTTTGAGAGGAGGCTCCGCAGAGTGCTACCACACAAGGCTTCATTTACCCAGTTGAGCGTTTTGTCAGGCTTGAAAATGTTGCTATGGTCTTCTGCACCTGCAAACCAAACAAACCTTTCTTTGGTGCATTCAGCTGACTTTGGACGGACTCTACTCTTGCAGTCCGCTCCCAATCAACAACGGCAGGCAAGCCCAGAACTTCAGTGCAGCTCAGAGCCTTCACCTCCAGGAGCACTGACGGCGCCAGCACATCGAACCCTGCTCCAAGGCACGCTTCCTCTGCACCCAACCACCCCGTACAGCCTGCCCAAGGCAGTGCTCAAAGAAAGGTACCCGACGGCCATTCGAACACAGTGCTAAGGCCCCAGAAGGATGCTTTTACAACTAGAAGTGGCAAGCCTTTAATGGATGAGCTGGGAGGGACCGTGCCAGCGGATGAAGAAGACGTGTTGGATGCTTGGCGTTCCGAGATTCTCGGAGAGAGCACCAAAGCTGGGGGCTCTGCTGCTACGAACAGGGGGGTTCAGTCGGTCAGCACGCCGGGGGAGTCCGGCGCGATGGGAGGAGGAGGCGCTTCTGGAGATGAGGGATCAGGGAAAAGGGAAACGAGGGAGAATGTGGCAGGGGTTAGCGGGGTGCAATCTGGGGGCTCAGATGCGTCTGACGCTTTTCAACGAAAGACGGCGCTGGCAGCCCGGCTACTGGGGCTGAACGACCCCGCTGACATCAGCGTCCCGTCAGGCCCCCCGGCCAGGGAGGTCCTCGCAGGCCTAAAGAACCCTCCCTGGAAAGCGGAGGGGAGCAGTAGCGGCGAGTCTGGGTCGGCAGAAGGGGAAGGCCCTGTTTTAAGCGAGGGCGACCGGTGGCGGCAGGAGCGGCTGCAGCAGTACCTCGAAAACAAGGCCCGGGTGCAGGCCAGTCGGGCAGCTGAAAGTAGCGGACGAGGAGTTGCGGCATACCCCCGGAAAGACATGGGGAGGGTGCGGAAGAGTCGCGGGATGGAGGGGCCGGGCCTCGAGCGCAAGCACAGCCGGCCGGGGTACATCCCACTCGCCCGAGCAGCGATGTTTACGCAGTTCAACAGCGAGGTGCACGAGGCAATCAAACAGGCGGTCGGTGCTGGGGAGGGGCGAGCAGAGGTAGAAGAAGAGGCTCGTTCCCAGGCAGCGGAGTCTGGGTTGGCAGAACCGAAAGCTGAGGACGGCGCTAGTATAGAGGCTGAAGAGCAGGGTTCTTCAGCATTTGAGAAAGCTGGGGCGTCCGAAGGGTCCGAAACGGTGGTGTCCGAAGAGCAGGTCGCAGCAATGGGTCCGAATCTGCTCAAGTCGGCTCTCGCTGCGGGCTCTGTCTCCGAATTGCAAGAGCTGATTCGTGCTCACGAGGAGGCGACTTCGGACGTTTTGGACGCGGACACCGGGTCGATGCTCGTCCGCGAGCTAAGCTGGGCCAGGCGTCCGGAGCTGGCGGAGGCCGTCTTCCGGACACTGTGCGCCGTCGGGAACGAGCCGAGCGCGCGCGCATGCGCCGCTCTAGTTGCCGCCGCGCACAGGAGTGAAGACTTCCGGATGACGCTGCGCGTGTTTTCGGCTGCTCGGGTGCGGGAGATCGTGCCGGACCGGGCCACGTGCATGGCGGCGCTCGCGGCGTGTCACCGCCTTGGCCGGTGGCGGGAAGCGAAGGCAATCTTTTCGGACATGCTCCGGACGGGCCTCGAGCCGGACACGCTCGCTTATAACGCCCTGCTTATGGTGCTCGGGGGGCAGCGGCAGGCGGCGGAAGTGCAGGCCGTCTGGGTCTCGATGCAGGCGCGGGGCGTGCGGCCGAACTCGCAGACGTACGGGCTGCTCATCTCGACGTTCACGAAAGCGGAGCTTGCGGAAAACGCGCTTGAAATCTACGAGCGGCTGACGAAGGAGGGGCTCCAACCGTCGGCCCTCATGTACGAGGGGCTCGTCGTGCTGCTGTGCCGAAACAAGCGGGATCGCATGGCCCTGAACTTCTACCAGGAGATGCGGCTCGCGGGGTGCGTTCTGAGAGCGCGCGGGTGCGCCGTCCTGCTGTCGGCGCTCGCGAAGGGCTGGGTCCTCGACTGGGAGTCGGCGCTGGAAGTGTACACCAACATGAAGAGCGACAAGGTCCAGCTGGACGTGCACCACATGACGGCCCTCCTAAAGGTTCTCGCGCTCAGCAGGCAGACCGAGGCCGCCCTGGAAACCTGGAAGGAGTTCCTCGCGGCCGGCGTCGCGCCCGACCGCGCGTGCTACAACTCGGTCATCGGCGTCCTGCGCGTGGTGCACGACTACGACCGTGCAATGGACTTCTTCTGGGAGATGAAGGACAGGGGGATCCCCCCGGACCAGGAGACGTACGGAAACTTGCTGTGGGCGTGTTCGGAACCGGGGCTGTACAAGACGGCGTTGAAGCTGTTCGAAGATATGAAGGCCGGGGGTGTGCCGCCGAACACGCACGCGTTCACGGCGCTCTTTACGGTGATGGGGCGCGCGGGGGAGTGGCAAACGGCGCTGGAGCTCTGGAAGGTAAGAGAAAGGGTTGGGATAACTTGCGTGCTCGGAAGTCGGCGATACTGCTCTTCCAGCTTCTTACGTACACGGAATGTTTTGGCTTTTTCCTGATCGATACACACAGCTTCAATCGACCCAGCTGGAGTTGTTAAGACTCCAGGGAGGAAACAGGGTGCGAAGAGAGCTGTTTTGTTTCGGTCCTTCTTCTCAGTCCGATCGGAAGCACTGTCTTTTGTCGCCCTCTGGATGCAGGACCTGTGACTATGCCGTCTCTGCACGCTCCACAGCTGGCGCAGTCAGCTCAACAATTTGGAGTCTCCTCATGCCTTCCGACTCCATCTCGCATTCTCCTGCTTCACTGCCCTGTCGACCTTCGCCGTCTTCCGAACCCACCCTTGTCTACCCCGCCTCCTTTCGTGAACTCCTTCAGCACTTCGTTCCCTCAGGATATCCGCTCTTAGGCACGGAGCCCAACACCGAGAATTCTTTCTCGATCGCACCTACTTTCTCACGCGCACGGATCCTCTTCTCCGTCTGGGAGATCCGTCCTCACGACATTGAGCTCAGCACCAAGAGGCATAAATCTCTCAATAGCGGATGAAGATTTCCTGATCCCTGGTTCTCTCCTCAAACAGTGCGCTCAACGTTTGACAAAGACCGAGCCGAAACATCGTTTCTCCTATTCGCTCCTCCATCTTTCACCGGCCTTGTCTCTTTCTTCAGAGAAAGAGAAGGAGTGCGTTCGACCAGATTGAGCGTCCTCACCAAAACGTCTCCTTTGTCCCCTCCTTATTTTTCACACCGGCTCCATGTTCTCGCAGGAGATGCGCGCCCTGGGCATCAAGCCCAGCACGAAGACGTACAACGCGATGATCGGCAGCCTGGGTCGCTGCCGCAAGCCGGATCTCATGCTCAAGGCGCACCGCCAAATGCTCGACGAGGGGGTCCGCCCCGACGACACCACCCGCCACTTCCTGGGCAAATTCGGCCCCCCCGGAACCAACCAGAATCCCAACCCATGGGGGGCTGGGAATCTGCTCGGCCAACGGGTGGAGCTCAAGCACTACGCCCGGGGGAACGAACCGAGGGTCGAGGTGCCTAGCGATTCGAGCCCGGTGTACACCCCCGGGGAGGCGTACCGGCGAGGGGGGGTTCTGCACGCAATCAAGCGGGAGGATCCGGGGTGGGTCCGGCCGACGGAAGAGCGGAAGGTGGCGGCGGAACTGCGGAAGATAGAGAAGGAGAGGGCGCGCGCAAGGGGGGAGGCGGGGTGGAGCGACACTGAAGAGAGTGGGGGTGTAGAAACCGGTGGGGTCGCGGGGAGGGAAAATGAGGATGCGGACGAATGGCAGGAGGACGAGTATGAGTGGGTGAGTGAGGACGATGAGGAACTAGAGGAAGCGGGAAATGAGGGGCCCGGCTATGATTGGAAGAGAAGAGGGGTGGAGAAAGGGGAGCGCGAGTTTGGCGGTAAGAAGGAAAGGCAGGCGAAGGCGAAGACTGTCCGGAGGGATGGGCGAAGTACGCGGACGTCCGAACAGGTAAGCGGGCCGCGTGTATCCCTTCTCTGCCGTCCGATTGCCTGTGCCCGAGCTTTGCTGTTTTGAGGAGCAGTAGCTGTCAATTTTCAGGAGATCCGGAGGCGAATGAGAGAGAAAAGGTCGCCGCCTCCAGAAATTGAGACACCGCTATCCAAGAGTTGGTCCTGGTAATTTTGAAGGGCTCAAAGCCTGAGGAAGGAGGGCAATAGCACTCCCATAGACACCGGCCAGTTGTGCGTCGTCGTAACAGGGGCTTCCTAATCTTGATCGCCAATGCTTTGTCTGCTCCACACCCCAGCTCACGCCTTCCTGTGTTGGTGCACGACCTTGATTCTGACCAAACCCTTGAACGCCTGTCTGGTCCGAGCTCTTCAGAATTCTCCTTTTTGCAGGGGGGGAGTATCCAGAAGGGCACTGTCGTCAGGGACGGGCTCCCTGTTGTTGAAGTTGAGTCCGGGGCTGCTGTAGAGAACCCAGGAATGGCAGATTCGAGAACGAAAGCAGTGAGTAAGAAGAAAGGAAAAAGAGGGAAAGACAAGTCGGAAGATGAGAGCGTCCCCTTGTGGCAGCTGATTTGACCTCTGAGAGACAGTGGAACGAATATCCGTAACGCAGAAAGCAGCTCCTTCCGTGAGTCGACGTATTGGGCAGGTGAGATAAGTTGCGCGTCATCAGATGCCGCACAATTCGGCAAAGTCCATTTGAAAAATCACTCAGACATTTCTGCCGGCGATTCGCTCAAGACAATCGAGGATTATCTGGCTCGATTTTGATCTCGATGATGAGCGTTCTAGTCTTCATTGTTACATCGAAGATCAATCCGTCAGTGTGCTCTTCTGACGACTAAGATATTCGTGTGTCGTCATCTTCGTACGACGTTCTTGAAGTAACTTCACTAGTTGCACGGTTACTTGATATCCAGCAGCAATAAGCTTGCCATGCATGGGCGTCTGCATGCATGAAGAAAGATTGATGCAGCTTCCTTGCAGCGCGCCGATGGCTAGTTGCGCTGTGAAAGGTGTTGTGCCATGTCAACATAGGAGTTGGCTGTGGTGCGTAGTTGTGTACCGACGGGTCGCGTCCTGGACTGATTGACCAACAATTATGCTTGCGAGTATACAACACTCTGGGTCAAGAATTTCTCCCATGTGCAAATCACTTTGGACTTATGTGATTACAAGCGTTCAATGTACGTATATCCAGTAGCTTAATGATCATGAAGAAGCGCCCTGTGCCTGCATGCGGACCAATACAGGCAGCATGACGGGAGCATGACGTTGCATGCAGCACGGATCGCGGAAATTTGGTGCCTTAAACAATGTTTTGTGTTAAGATAGCCGCGTTCGGACGGTTGCTGGCAGTGGGCCTTAAGAGGTTGTGATATCATCAGTCATTGCTTGGAATCAATGCATCTATTTTTGTCTTTCTTCTATTCAACCTCAAAATCTTCGGCTCAATATCTTCGCTGGTAATGTAAAGCTCTGTGCAATGTTTGCATGGATCACCGACAAACTGATTTTGATAGGATTAGCCGCAAAACTAGATCTTAGTTATAGCACAAACTCGTGACCATCTCATTTCATGTTTCCGAACTCAAAAGCTCCATGCTTCGGTACGGGCTTGTTAACTGATGTATACATACATGTATTGCATTTAAAATTCTTATTAAATTTTTTATAAAAATCAGTGGATAATAGCGGCACGTGGCAACCCCCTATTTCTGCGGAAGTATGACGTCAGGCACGCAATAAATCCCGTAGATTTCGGGACGCCGCGAAAATTTTGAAGACTGAACTATGAAGGTGAAGTTTGACGTTCTTCACAACTATTCTTCACGCAAT